TGTCCTTATTAATGAAGACTAATCTCTTTTAAAGTACGAAAACACAAGTTAAAGGAAGGTGGACCTGAATAATAATGAACCAATTATGAACAATCAAAAAATAACTTCTAAAGTAAAACTATGCATCTACAGGATTAGTTTCGCTGGAATTGCCCAATAGTGATGGGATCCAACATCAACAAAACGGCGCTTGGCTTAATGTTTGACTGTTACTGCGTTAATTACGTATCTACCAACATATATGGGCAGTTTGTGACCAAATTTTACTTTCAATCGACTTTTCTTTGTTGCGTTTTTAACTTTAGCATTCAGTAACATTTTTAATGTAGCACTAGGAACGCTGAGTTTGATATCAAGTAAAAGATTCGTTGGTCCAATAAGAAACAACCGTCAGTATAATTGGAGTAAACAATGTCGTGGTATGCTAACAGTTCTAATTATTCTTCTCTGTAACCTATATTAAGGAAATCTTTAGGGCGTTTGCTATCAGGAATTAAAGGAGCTTACAATGATATAAACCCTGCGACGTTAACTGGAGCCATTGATGTGATTGTTGTCGAACAAAAAGATGGTTCTTTCACTTGTGGGCCGTTTTACGTTCGGTTCGGGAAACTAACAGCTTTCTCTCCAACGGATAAGGCTGTTGAAGTCTATGTCAATGGTGAATTTGTTGACTTTCTACAGATGTCTTTAGGAAGTGCCGGTGATGCATACTTTGTAGACTCTTCCGGCTCAACGACAGATGAATTCTTAACGGCAGATCCCAATGACTGTCCAGGATTTACATATGATGACTCATGGACTGAGATTCCCGTGCGGCGTCACTCACGAAAGGTTCGACGGGACTCTGCAATGAGTGAACCGGGTACAGAATCTAACTTAATAAAAGAAGATATAGATGAATTATGTGGGACAAGTTATGAAGTTTCATCTGATTGTGAAGCCTCAAGTGATAGGCTTAGAGACTCCCGAAAGTGTCGGAATTCTGTTGGTGATAAGTTTGGTTCTGACAGCCAGTTGGACGAAAGTTTAAAGGATACTGTAAGCAATTATAGCTACGATTGGAATCTGGCGAATTATCAGCCACGTGGTAGCAGTTCCTGTGTCGTTAAAGATGTCACAAAAAGTGATGTAGTACGAGACCCTCATCTAAAAAACTTTACACATGAAAAAGAAGTGTACCTAGAAGAACTAGTTACATCGGAAGTCGATCAAAATATTAAAGAGGTGTATATCTACCCCCCATCTCACGGAAATTTTCCATCTCAGTGTCAAGGATCATGCAACACTACTGACAGCAACTGTGTTGACTATGGTTATCGTTCCGACAACGAACACTCTCCGAGAAGCATGTCACCCATCCATCCCCATGATTTAAGTTTAAGACTCTCGTTGTGTGGTGGTTTATCTTCAGATAATCCTTGTTCTGAGGGGAAGTTTGTAGAGCACATAGTTTCTTATGAAGAATTTATACGTGACCCTAACACTATTTTATCTAATCCTAATCTTGTTATTTACTTCAATGGACGTTATTGCAATTGGCAAGTAACTGCTCCTTCTATTGTCAGTTTACTTGCCTTTCAAACACAACTACCTTATCTGACTTTACAAAAGCTAGAAAACCAGTACCTACCCAAAAAGCAGTCTCGACGTACCTCTTGGTTCAGCTGGGGTGCAAGTCAAACACGAACTGTTGCTACAAACTCCGTAATCCCTGCTAAAGAAGTCGATAATGTTGAAGAAAAACGGCTTGATTCCAGCTCACAACCACCTCAGGTAAGTTTGTCTTTGAGGTTAACTAATACTTCTAGGTACACACCACTCACAGAGTTACTAAAATCAACAGACTTTCTTCAAGTGAAGTATCCAGATTGAAACTCAAACCTGGACGAAATGATATTGAGTTTCGTGTCACCACAAAGTATCAAGGTACTTGCACATGTTCAGCTTCTATTTATTATTGGCGTTGGCATGACAAAATAGTTGTTTCTGACGTTGATGGAACCATTACACGTAGTGATTTACTTGGACACTTGCTTCCTATGGTAGGTCGTGATTGGACACACCCTGGAGTTGCTCGACTGTATAACCGAGTTCAAAATAACGGTTATCAATTCCTCTATCTTTCAGCTCGAGCTCTCGGACAAGCAGGTATAACTAGGAGCTATTTGAGACAAGTCGTTCAGGATTCATCATCCAGGTTGCCAGATGGACCAATACTATTGTCTCCGAATTCTCTTCTCCATGCCTTCCACCAAGAAGTCATTATTAATAAACCAGAAGTGTTTAAAACGAAATGTCTTCAAGATGTATGTTGCCTTTTTCCAAAGGGATCCTCTCCACTGTATGCGGGATTCGGTAACAAGGTTAACGATGTTTTCGCATATCAGAAAGCTGGGATCGAGCTTTGCCGAATATTCACAGTTAATCCACGAGGAGAAGTTCGTAATGAATATCAGTCCTTAAGAAGTACAAGTTATCATGAGTTGGGAGATTTAGTGGATCTTCACTTCCCACCTCTTTGTAAGTACCAGACTACACATATACCACATCCTGTTGACTATCATTCTAGTTGTGTTATAAAGTCAGAAAATTCGACGCCAGCTGTTGCACATCCACCTGACACATTGATCCCGTACTTGTTGATTTAACCACGTTCTCTAGTTTTTCGTTTTGGAAATCTAATTACGAATTATCTTTTCCTCTTCCGAAAACACTGGAAAATTCTTGATATATATATATATATATATATATATATATATATATATATATATATATATCTGAAATACATTTTCAAATTGCCTTTCTTGTTGCTCGCCTCCATTCTAGTAACATAATTAATGTAGTGTTTATCTTGCAAACAGACACCCATATTTTTCAACATATTTGCCTTTCTGTTCTATTAAGAATGTTATCTTTTACAGAGATTATTATTTCTACTTTACGTACAAATTGTACCTAACTATTCGTAAAAATGAACTTTCTGAGATCAATAAAACGATAACGAATTATTTGTACTTTTCATACTATTTTTCAATAAAATAACTGAATACACACTGGTTGGAACTTTTAGGCTCTATCGGAGAACCTATCAATAGATAGTTGTTTTGAACAGGCCGCAGCGCATTTGACCGAAATAGCTTATTCTCTGGACTCCAACACGTTACTCTACTTCTACGCTAGGTACAAACAGGTCAGTTACCGTTTAAAATTTTGTAGTTTGGCTTGTGTGCAAATGGTAACAGAATATTTCCGCAACACATTTACATCGATCAAGCACACCGTCAACCTAAATGTGTCTTTCTTAGAATCATGTCCTGAAGCTGAATGTGTTCGTATAAGAAATTCACTTCTTTGTTCTTAATAAGTTACTAACTTGCGCCTGTTACGCCTCGTGGAGGAGCATAGGCCGCCCACCAGCATTCTTCATCGAACTCTGTTCCATTTATTTATTTGGACGCATAAATATTAGTACAAAGGGGCACCGAATACATATGCGCAACACAAGTCACTAGATGGATCCTCCATATCCACCAACTCGGTCATTCGATTTTCGTTCTCTCAATTTCGTAAACAACACACCCACCGCGAGAAGTCAGTGAGTAGGACTTTCCTAACAGTGACTGTATACGCGTAGCCGTGTGAGAGCATTTGGAGAGGGAGCTAACTCTCCACACCCTTGACCGTACCAAGGCATTTGGGGGCAGTTCTTTCCAGTTGCTGATCATCACTTTGATGTCTGTCTCATTCCCGGCACAGTGTTGCTCAAAATTCCTTTTTTCCGTTTCCCTTCGGAATTCCAAGTCAGAGCCTGCCTCGTAATGCAGTTTGATGACTTCCACAATGTATGTCCTATCCACCTTCAGCATCTTTTACTAATTTCCTCTTCATCTGATGGTATCCGGTCAAAAGATATTGAATATTGAGTGAATACATGTTCCCTTTTTATATTGATGGTTGTAGTAGTTCTCCATGTTTCAGCTGCATATAGTAGAATTGTCTTGACGTTCGTATTAAAGATTCTCATTTTGATATTGGTTGACAGTTGTTTTGATTCCCATATGTCCCTCATCTGTAGGAATGCTGTCCTTGCTTTGCCAATCCTTACCTTTACGTCCGCATCAGATCCTCCTTGTTTATCGACGATACTGCCCAGATAAGCGAAAGCTTCCACCTCTTGCAGAGTCTCTCCATGAAGTGTGATTGGGTTGGTATTCTCCGTGTTGTATTTGGCGATCTTGATTTTTCCCTTGTGTATGTCAAGGCCTAATGATGCAGAGACTGTTGCCACACTGACTATATTCACCTGCATTTGTTGGTATGTGTGTGTGTGTGTGTGGGATAGAAGAACCAGGTCATTTGCGAAGTCCGAATCGTCTAGTTGCATGTGAGCTGTCCACTGTATTCCGCGCTTCCTCTGAGATGTCGAGGTCTTCATAATTCAGTCAAGCATCAGAGGAAAGTGAAAGGGAGGAAGTAAGCAGCCTTGTTTGACTTCGGTCCTGACTTGTAATTGGTTTGTGAGCCGTCCTCCATACACGACTTTGCAGTGTAGTCCATCGTATTAATTCCGTATGGTGTTAATGATTTTCCCTGGTACATTATAGTGTGGAAGAAGGTTCAATGAGGTTTTCCTATCCACACTCGAATGATTTCTCATAATCAAGGAAGTTGGTGTATAGTAACGAGTTCCATCCAATTGATTGTTCAACGATGATCCGTAATGTCTGTGCACTTTGGTCTGCGCACTACCTATCCACACGGAATCCAGTCTGTTGATCTCGAAGCTGGTCGTCTACTGAATCTTTCATCTGGTTCGGCAACACTGTTGAAAACGTTTCTTGGTACCGATACTATGATGATGTGATGCTTGTGCAGTTCTCACACTTGCTGAGATCTCCTTTCCTTGGTATCCTGATGAGATGTCCTTCTTTCCGGTATGTCTGTCTGTCTGTCTGTGTCCATCAGTATGTCGTCACTTGTTCCTCCTCCCAAATCCTCTTGAATGGAACATGAAGCATGTTTGTGGTTACTTCATCGTGTGATTTCAATGATTCAGTTGGTAAATTGTCAGGTTCGACTGCTTCTGCTGCTGTTGCTGTTTTGCCACAGTTGATTTGTTTGATGACCGGTCATCCTGATTTCTTCGATCGTCGGTGGAGTGACAGTTGTAGGAATGTGTATATGTTTTGCCTCGATGTCCGTTGTGTTCATTGGAGCTGTTCTATTCAGGAGTTCGTCAACGTGTTCTACCCATCTGTTCCTGTCTTGTCTTGTTTGTCCTTAATCGGTCTCTCTGGTTTACTCTATTTCCCTGCTTGTTTCTTGGTTGCGCCATACGGTTTTCTGATATTTGCTTGTGTTACAGCTTTTTCCACTGTCGTTGTTAGGTGTTCCATGTATTTCTTCCTGTCGACTCTAATGTTCCTCTTCACTTGTTTATTTGCTTTGTGTACTCAGCTTGTGCCCTGACCATCTCCGTTCTTCTTCGACCGTTGTTAATTGCATTGTTTTTGTTCTTCCTTTCTTGAATCCAAGACAGGAGTTCCATAGAGATCCATTCCTCATGATACTGCTTGTTGTGGTGCAGCACTTCCTGACACATTGAAGTTGGCGTTACTTTGATCCCTTTCCAGTTGTTCTCCTTAGTATCTTCTTCTTCGTCGTCTTCTGCTTCTTCTTCTTTGAGTAGATCCTGTAAGACTTGGAACCTGTTGTTGAGATCTATCTAGAGTTCTTTGAGTTTTAATCAATTAGTCCGTTTGATAAATTTTATAATGTAATAAGAAGACGAAGATTATCAGAACTATGTGATATATTAGCGCAATACATTTCGAACAATCTAATCACACATATACTTGTTAAGAACATTTGTATATGAAAATAAAAGGTCAAGTAGACTGGAAATGGGGTAAGAAGAGACAAGGATAATAATAATAATAATAATAAGAGTGAACATAATTTGAAACCTAGTCACTCTGGATAATAAGTCAATATTACCAGGGTAGGTATTGACCTGTCCACGTTGCTTTTCTAAAAATGGATCGTTTGACTGGGCCAACTCATCTACTCAGAAGTATATCTAGGAAAGAAAGCTGATCGTTCTTCATTTCACATGAGAGACTGATATGGCTTTGGAAAGTGTTAAATTTATTCAATAAGCAGTACATATCCTCATTTCTTTCCATGGCACAGTGTGACCTACTGCAGCCTTGGTAGAGAAAAAGCCTATCTATATCACCTTACCATTCAGAGGTTATTCAAATAGCCTTTTACTGAAACAAAGGCTTAAATCAGTCATCAACAAGACGTATTGCGCAGCAAAGGTAATTATCAAAGAAAAAACAAGGTGCATGCTTCATCCAAAACCTAAAAGACATGAAAACGATTGTATCACATCCCACTGTGTTTACCGATTTGAATGTGTGTGTGGTCACACATACATAGGGAGGAGCAATCGTGATCTGAAAATTAGTGTGTGAACATGTACCAAAATGGTTGCAGAAACAAATACGATCAAGTGACCCAATAAGAGCAGAGTATGAGCATCCATCATCCTCAATTGCTAAACATATAATTGAAACGGGCCATGAGATTGATCTAAACTCGGCTTTTGTGGTGCTGTATAAAAGTGTAAAAGGGTGTATACTGAGGTTTATTTAAGCCTAAGCCATACGAAAACTTAGATCCCCTTTGTGTATTCAAAAACAGTTTGTTCTCACCTTAAACCTACCCTGGTAATATTGACTTATCAGTATGGGGGTTGTGGAGATTGTTAAGTTTTTGGTTGAGATCATGAATTAATTGATGTTGGACCACCGTTGACTTATTATCCAGAGTAACTAGGTTTCAAATTATGTTCACTCTTATTATTATTATTATTATTATCCTTGTCTCTTCTTACCCCATTTCCAGTCTACTTGACCTTTTATTTTCATATACAAATGTTCTTAACAAGTATATGTGTGATTAGATTGTTCGAAATGTATTGCGCTAATATATCACATAGTTCTGATAATCTTCGTTGAGTTTGTCAATATTTCGAAGGACGTCTGTATTGAACCTTAGTAATACTGTTTCTGCAATTGTCCGATGCTTGATCTTGACTACAATCAGGTGGTGGTGATTGTGGTGATCTGGAGCTATATCAGCTCCTCTCTTTGTTCTCAAGTCTCCCATTGACCGTCTGAATGTTTTACTGATGCAAATATGTTCTATCTGGTTCTCCGTGGTGTGGTCCGGTGAGATCCATGTAGCTTTGTGCGGAAATATTGTGCTGCCTATAATCAATTTGTTGAATGTACATAGATTTGCAAATCTCTCTGGATTGTCGTTCGTTTCTCTCAGTCAGTCCATGTCGTCCGATCATATCTTCATAACCGTTGTTGTCCATTCCGACTTTGGAGTTCATGTCTCTCATCAGGATGGTCAGGTCGTTTGCTGGGCACTTAGCTATGATTGATTGAAGCCTCTCGTAGAAATGATCTTTATCGCTGTCGTTGTCGTTGCTATCATTGGTGGGTGATGACGATGCTCCATAATGATTAAATAAATCCTCTGAAACCTTTTTACTCGACCAGTATTGACTGAGTCATAACTGTCATTGAAACTACTAACCTCAAGTAGTATTCATTGCTTCATCAGGGCGCTCATAGACGTGAATATTCTGTTTTTTCTGTGATTTTTGTCGTACATGGAAATTCAGTCACCAAATAGAACTACATTGATGACATGGTTTTTGTTAACGAAGACGCTGACAAAGAATATTAAGGTTACATAGAATGAAATTAAAATGGAATGAAAAGTAGAGAAATATGAAAAGCTCATTTGTAATAATCTGATTTCGAATATCTTTTAATTAAATAATAAGGCTAAATGAATAAAACGTTTTCTCCATAATTATTCACTACAATCTTTGTGTGTGAGCTGGAATATCACACAAACCCTTAGACTAAAACAGGTGATTTCTAAGTGGATCACCTCCCAAGCTTTGATTTAGAGGTCTTATCCATGAGTCAATAAAGCAGTCACAAGATACAGTCCCAAATTAGCATCATACGTCCTTCGTCTCTTTCGGATCCTGGAGTCCATGTAGACCATTCGTTTGGGATCAAGGTCTTCTAACTTCCCCAGGTGGACCTGCTTTACTCACCAACCTGTTCTGAACGCCATGTCGGGTTTTCAGGGGAACGTCCTCGTCACATAAAGGCAATTTGCAGGACTTCCCTGACATATTTTATAGACGCGTGATCGTATGACAGCGTTTCGAGAAGGCGAACAGACTTCTATCCATCGCCCATACCTAGAAAACCAGTGCACTATAAGCTTATCATTTCAATTCCTACTTATTTAATAATAATAACTGACAGCATTTAGGATTGTTTTTTAAATGAACTTATGAACATATTGTTTTTTCTGACTTACGGATACATTAACCTTATCATAAATTGGGACAACATAAGTTGTCCGGATACACTCAAGTTGTTTCCCAGTGTCGTTTCGAGAAAGGATCCCGTTTTTGTTGTGATTGAATAGAACAGATAGCACAGGCTTGTTTGGTTTGTGAATGTTTTGATTGAAAAAGTAACTTTTCAACATCTGTTCATTACTCTGATTAGCTAAAGTTGCTTTTTCTGGATCGACTATATCCATCAACATTACATTGATGAAAGTATTCTGCAACCTATAGGAGTAAAGCTTTTAGGTGTAAAACCCGAACCCCCCTCTCTTGTTCTCTACCTCTTTCCCTCATTGATCAATGTACAGCGTAGTTCCGAACGGCCAGCAAAAAGCCTACTTTCGAACTAATAAAAGCAATGACTTTTGGATTTGAGTTCTAGTATGCAGTTCTTATTACCATAGCCATCTCATCCCATGTCTATTTCAGACAGCAAGGCCGATACTATTTTTTGAGAGATATTTGTGAATCACGGATCTTCTAAGAAAGAAATTTGTTAAACAATTAATAGTCGATGGAAAATAAACTTTCTATTCTTTCATTATCCGTGACAACCATCGTTAAGTAAATGATTTGTATGTGACATAACTGTACAAAGTCAAAGGTCATTCATATTGACTGAAAACATCGTTAAGATCAGTTTCCCAAAATATCCATCATGTAATAGTTTGGAGAAGCTATTAGTTGTAGATACGAGTCCTCCGTGTTCCAATGGTGGTGATATGTCTATGGATCGTAACCATAAGTTGCCGCTGGTTGTTTATAGGGAAGTCCATGGTTCTGTTGTTTGATAAAAGATCAAACAAAGAGGATCCATCCTTTATTGATTTGCAGACCTGAAGCCTCTGTCGTAATTGAATTCATGTACTTGACTTCGTTTAAGAAAACGGTTCCACAGGACGTCTTCTACACACATCTCACGGTGTTCAAGCTTAACTTTTATCATTAACTTCGTTTAATAGGTAGTTTTGATATATTGACAATACATAGTCGATCTTGGAGACGAGGTGTTAACGCGTTGTTATTGAGTTGGTGACCTAGAGTGCTGTTTCTTTCCGACGCGTGACTAGAAGAATGTTATTCTTGAGGGTTGCATGATGCACATTATAGGACGTACTGTAGAACTGCGGGTGATTAAGTAAAAAAAACTCCAAAAAGAACTTAGTCAGTTGAGTATACTTTCGGGTCTTTTCTAAAGATTGCTAAAAGCCCTAATTTTTCATTTATCTCGGGAAAAGTTATTACCTTGTAAATCTCAATTAAGGCAACAGTCGGTATCTAATCCTCAACTGGTTTATTGGTCACTAACTATCCACTAGGATATCTGCTAGTACGGTAACCCGTAAGGTTAGGGAGCAACACTGGATCTCAGCAGCATCTATCGCACTGATAGATGCTCGAAAACTCATTCCATCTGGATCTGAACATAACGAAGAGCGGAGTCAGCTTAAGCGCACGCTGACAAGAAGCCTACTCAATGATCGCGAACAATGGTGGGTAGCGAAAGCAAGAGAGATGGAAAAGGCAGCGGCAATAGGTAATAGCAGACAATTGTTCAGACTCGTTAGGGAAACCGGTATTAGGAAATCGACTGTTAGCGAAACAATCTCAGAGAAAGATGGACATATTATACATTCTCAATCCAGGAGATTAGATCGATGAGCAGAACACTTTAGGGATCAGTTCAACTGGCATTCAGCCACACTTCGCTTTCCCACGATCTCCAGTCAACCTGAATGGCAAGTTAATGTAGGTCCTCCGTCCCTTTACGAAGTTGAAAAAGCCATAGGAAATCTGAAACGAGGGAGAGCAGCAGGCCCTGACAGGTTTACTCCTGAGATTTTTAAGGATGGTGGTCCAGTATTAGCAGTGAGATTAACTGAGGTCTTAGGTAGAATTTGGGAATTGGACGTAATCCCATCTGACTGGTCTCAATCACTGATTGTGCTAGTCTATAAGAAAGGACAAAGGTCCTCCTGTGACAATTACAGAGGAGTCAGTTTGACTAATATAGTGTCTAAAATATTAGCTTCAATAATACTTTGACGCCTAACCAAAGCTCGTGAAGAACAGACTAGAGAAAATCAGGCTGGTTTTCGACCTGGACGTGGTTGTATAGATCAGATATTCACACTACGTCAGGTTCTAGAACACAGAC